CTACACCATTATGCCCTCCATTACGCAAATCAGCTTAATTTTCACTTCCTCAGTAAAGCTTCACCTTATATTTACCCCTGTACACCTGCAACATAGCCCACCAGGTTCTTTAGGTATTCCTGTCCTCATTTCCATAGCACCCTATATTCATTTTCTTATCAGACATCACTGCTATTTCTGTAATTGGTTGTTTTCCCCATTAGACTAAAGGTTCCATGAGAACAGATTGCTTATTATAGCCCCACACCGTTCAACATGTCAAGTGCATAGTAAGCATTCAATATATGCTTGTTAGATAAATAAAATGAATGAATAAATGTGATGCTTCTACCATGGGAGCAACTGTACACCTGCATGAATAAATAGCTTTCTCTATGAACACAAGACCACTCAGGAAGCCATTTGTTGCCTTGACGATTTGTTTCATTTTCTCTACAGGAAGCTCTGGTGGAAGTAAAAATTATTTTAGCTTTTCCAAATGCCTTATTTGAAAATATTTCTGTTAAGAATCCACTTCCAAAGAAATGACATGCCACCTTCTAAAAATTAAGGTCATAATAAATAATATGATACTTACCAGACTTGATAAAAATATTTTTAATGCCTCACAACAACTTTTATTTCCTTTTAGAAATTCGGAGTGATTTTTAATTCTTATTAAAGATAGTGGGTTGACAGCAGCAAAGAGTAAAAGCATATTTACAAAACAGATATAGTATTAACAACATCAAGAAAAGCTTCTTTTGTGCTGCCCAGTCCACTTTTCATTCTGCTATGTGAATTTTATTATGTATATTAACCTGTAATGCATATTAAAAATTAATAGTGCCATCATGCCTTTATTAATGAATTACAGCAGTTTTTTTTGTAAATCATTTTTAAATCTTTTTCAAATATACAAGTATAGTTCATGGATATCTGAAATTATGCCAACGTGTGATTCACCCACTAATACTACTATAAAAATTCTGCAGTTTTATTTGTAGATCTTTTTTTTAAACTTTTTCAAATGTATAAGTATGGTTAATTGATCTGAAATTATGCCAATGTATGATTCACACACTACTACTATTTAAGATACTTAGTTAATCTAAACAATTTTATCTTCAGAGACAATATAGGATAATATTAGATTTGAAATAGAAAAGGAAATACCTCAGGGATGCAACAAAATATACTCATCTTACAGAGAAGGACAGTGATGGCCAAATGCCTGTGGGTGGCCATGATCAGAAAGTACACATTTATTTTTCACAGTTGCACACTTTTCTATTCTTATATCAAATCCTTTATGTTGTTACATGTGATGCTTGAGAATTCCTATGCAGTAAAAGAAAAATTATATTGACTTTGCATTTCATTAAACAGAATATTCTGCCTGTCATCCAGAACTACTGTCCTATTGGCCAATCATGTAAACTCATGGCTCTGCCTAACATTATTTTCCTTGCATTTTAGTTGTTAAATTTATTGGATTATCTTTCAATTACTCAAAAAATGTTTAGGGAATTCCATCATATAAAATGTGTTGCATTAGTTATTAGATTGTGTTTAGCCAGTGTTATTGAGATGACTTCATTTACTTCAATGAACATACTGAGAGGGATTCATTAAAGATCTAAAGTGTGAGTTGCTGAATAAATTATACTATATACACATTTTTCCATCTGCCAGTTGTGCTATGTACCTTACATAGTCTAGTATAATATCACTTAGACCTAGGTAACATATCCTTTTTGAAGATGAATAAATCAATGTTTGAGGAAGTTAAACAACTTATCCACATCCTAAAGCTAATACATGTCAGAACAACAATTTAAATACAAGTCTCGCTCCAATGTCCTGCTCTTCACACTAGAACATGTTCCTTCTCCTTCTCAGTAGTGATATCTGTGACAAAAGTACTGAAATTGAAACTGGACAGAAACATTTGAAAAAAAGAGATGACTCAATCTTCTGAAAGTGGGTTGTCTGAACATTTGACAAGACCTTGGAAGCCATGTGATAGAAACTCTATATTTATGAACACTCTGATGATTTCCTAGCCTACAAGATCTTACTCCAAATCTGAGAAGTTCTACAAATCAGTTTAGCTAGGCTGGAGCTCTTAAGACTTTAAACAATCTGAGTTAAATGGAGTAAGATCTAGAGTAGGATTATTTTATCAGAGGGTTTACATAAAATCCACAATCATTTCCTTCCTCTTATATACAGAAAAAAATAAAAATGATTCTCCAATATGACTAATAGATCTTTTTATGCTACCATTATACAATGATATTTTCTAGATTTATCATCATCCCTCCTCTCATTAATCTTCCTTCATTCATTTTTAAGAATGTGAAACAAATACATAATGAGGAATTTATTTCTATAGTGTGTACAATAGGGGAATATGGAAGAGCTCAGAGGGCACAGAGGTCTAGGAGGAGCCAAGGGGACAGTAAACAACTTTCATGCCAAGGAAAGGGAAGGAGGAACAAAAATGCTATTACCAACGGAAGTATTTCTGTTTTCTTGCCACTAAAAACTTGACAAAGTAGTCGTCAGCTGTGGTATTGAGATGTTCTGTGAATGATATGGAGCTTAGGACGTATCATGATAATTAACAGTTCCAGTCTCAATAAAGCTTCTGTAAAGCAATAATTAAAGAGAGTACCTCAGCCAGAGCTACTAGAAAGTGAATTTATTGCTAGGGGAGAAAGAGATGAGCATTAAACTAAGATATAATTAAAATTTCCAAATTGTTGACAAGTTTCTTGTCAAACAGTCCCAAGAAAGTAGAGCAAGGGCATCCCAAGTGCATGGCCACTTGGGGAAAAACGTAAACTATCAACAGTGGAACACTAAATGGAAAAGATTTGCAATCTAAAGTCCTTTAAGAGGTCTCCTCACCTATGTCCAGTTTTTGAAGCAATTATTCATTATTTACCATGTAAATATCACAATGTAACTTTGCTATATGTTTGTTCTTTAAAAGGAAGGAAATGATTGTGTATTTTGTGTTAAACCCTCTGATAAAATAATCCCACCCTAGATTTTACCCCATTTAACTCAGATTGCTTAAAATCTTAAGAGCTCCAGTCTAGTTAGACTTATTTGCAGAACCTCTCAGATTCGGAGTAAGACCTTGCAGGCTAGGAAATCATCAGAGTGTTCGTATATGTTACTCTAGAAATGTTTATGGACATAACTAAGAAAATGATATTTCATGTGAGTCTGTGTTTTGTTGATTGATGTAATTTATATGATAAATCACAATACTGAAGTAATGACATTTATCTCTTATTAAGCATTTAAAGAAAAATAATATGTATCACCTATGACCCTGTAATCAATAATACTTTTATAAGTAAATATGAGGCATATGACATTTTTTATCAGATAGTGTTTTCCAAATTGAAGGCACTTGGATTTCAGTATTGATTTAAGTTATGCAATGCAGTAGACTTCCAGTTTTGGTTCTCATTAATAACTTTGGTAATTGTTTTTAAAGCACTGATTTGTTTCACAGTATCTGAAATTATTATAATTTTGGAGTAAATAATTATAAAACACATATAGGTCAGATTTGGCAGTATTCTCTCAAGAAAAGTAACACCAAGTGTAACATCTCAAGAAGAGTAACATATTTTTGAGGATATTTCCTTCAGTGGATTACATAAGAACATACAATTTCTTAAGATATTTTAAAACTTATTTTAGTTTATTTACTTTTACTGATTTAACTGGACCACTGAATGAGATGTTTGGCAATTTTTAAAAGCAAAATAAGGTATTTGTCTAATTTAGAGGCCTAGTCAACTAACCCAACTAGAAGTTTTTAGGCTTAAAATCCACTAACCTCAACTGAAGCTTCCATGTGATACCAGGCCTTATGGGAAGATATCCACTAAGATTTTCTGGAACTTAATTTGTAAAAGTAAAATATTTAAGGTCATACCATGGGTCACTTGGCTTGTGGCTTTGAAATTAAATAATCCTTTCTTTAGTGGCAAAAGGAGATCACAATCGGATATCTAAACGCAGTTAAATCTCATGTACTAAACTATTAATTTTGTCATGGTTAATGGACATCTAATCAACGTGCTATACAAAAAGATAGGATTCAAATTAACTCATGGTACGCTTACATACAAAATGAAAAGGGAACTAATGTGTAAATGTCTTATAATTAGATTTTTCCCAAAAATATTAGAAATATTTATTCAAATAATCAGTGATTATGAAATTTAAATACATTTTTTAGAACTGATGACAGAATAAAATAAAATGCCTTTGAAATTTTTCACTGTTTTCTGTAAATACATAAAAAACTTGCCTATTGATTTTATTTCATTCCCACTTTTATTTATATTTCCAATAATGCAAATATTGCATTTGTTTCTAATTAAAATAGAGACAATTAGCTAAATATTAAATATTGTATTTGTTTTAACTCAGGGCCTTGAGATTTTTTCCTTTAAAATAAATCACTAAAATGCAGAATATCAGAATTCTCCAATCAGAGGCAATATGTCAAGTCACAGTAAAGCTGATTGGCTTCTTTAAACACAGAAGACATGGCCTTTAAATGAAAAGGTAATTATCACACTCAGAAAGACTGCCCTGATATGTTATGTTAAACTGATGTGTATGTGCTATACTACTACTATAGATATTTATATGATGAACTATAAATAGATGCAAAAGCAAATCCTGCCATAAAAAAAAAAAAAAAAAAAAAAAAAAAAAAAAACCCCCCAAAAAAAAAAAAAAAAAAAAAAAAACAGGCAAATTCTCCTTCCATTTGCACAAACATGCAATATCACTTTAAGAAGTTAAAATCACATAAAGACAGGACCCCCCAGACCCTCAGGCAACAAAATGCCCAGCAAAGTAAATTATACTAATCATTTTCTCTCATGCACTGGCAGCACCTACTAGAACTGTTTAATTACGGGACCAGAATAATAATAGAAAAATGCTGCACACAACAACAGCCCTGTTTCCTATCCTACCTTTGTGGTGACAATGCACAGGCAATCCATCCTGGATCCCTACACAGGACTCAGTGCATGAAAGTCACACCAGCAAATCAGCAAAGGTGAGAAAAGCCTTTTGGAAATTGCACACAGAGAGAAGCAGAGCTTGGATTCTGTACAAGACGGCTTTTCCAAGGGGGCCCCTCATGGGAAACTCGAGCCCTCCTCCATACAGCTCAAGGCAAGCAGGATTCTCCTAGGCACCAGAAAATCCCCTAGAAATCAGCTCCGGCAAAACTTCCCGGTGGCTTGCTGGGCTCCGCGGCTGCATGGTCTTTTAGCAGATTCCTTGATCAGAACAGAGCTCCTGTGAGTGCCCCACACAGTTCTATCGTAGCGATGAGTGTAACACCAAGCACCAGAGAATCACATTTCAGCTCTTGCTCTTGTTTCTGAATTCTGATCTGCTGCTTCAGTGTACCCATAAGATTTCCTTTGCCAAAGTCCCCTCTTTGTTGCTTTCCTTTCTTACTAGCAACACTGAGTAACACAAAAAACTACCCGTCCCATCTACCAAGTGGCTGTCGTTCCAGTGCCAGAATAGCGGCTTTGGGTAATAAAATGCTATTTATTATGAGCATGATTGCCGGGAGTCTAAATGACTCGAAAGATATGACTGAAAAGCTAAGGTGCATGTGGTGCTGCATACATCACATCTCAACTCACTTGCAATTACAAGGGCAGCTTCTTACAAATGACTAACAGCTGGATAAGGAAAATTGAGCCAGTGGCATAAAGAAACTGCAGATTTGGAAGTTTAACTTAGAAAAATGTTACATTTATCCTTTTTTGTGTTTACCTATGTGTGTGGTCCATGACATATGCAAATACACAAACAACCTGAACATTTAAACGAATAAGTATATGATGAAAATTGGGGATCATGGAGCTTCTAAAGTGTTTATAAAAGTTCTACATTCTAAGTGAAAAAATGAGCTCCTTCCCAAACTTTTCCCTCCTCACTTGCTGTCTGCAGGCACTTATTACGTGGGCAGAGCTTTGTGTTCCCTTCTGCAGCATTCTAACAGCCAAATGATTAACACTGTCCCCTCCCCCAAATCCCTCCCTTTCTTCTAGTAAAGCTGCCACTATATAGACTGCCTTTGAGGTGCTTGACAAGCATCACTCTGGATAATAATATTCCTTTTTTTCCATCATCTTAGACACATAGGCAGTCACAGACTGAAACAGACAAACAGACACAGGAGCTCAGAGAGGAGAGGGGGCGGGAAGGGAGAATGAGAGAAAGTGAAGAGAGTGAATGACAGAATGGAAAGTACTGTCTGACGAATAAAAATGGAAAATCAATGATGCACTTTCACTAGGAAGAAAACATATAGTCAACTGGACCACTGAAATATCAAAAATAAATGTCTAGGGACCCATACACTTTAGGTCCTCAAGAGACTGGCAGGACCATTTTCCACTCTACTGACAATCACCACCCTCTCTTTTTTCATAAAAAGTATACTTTCCATGATAAATAATTTGGTGGAAAGAAAGAATATATAAGACTCTTCTACCTTTCATGAATTATTCAGGTTCTAACCTCAATATCCCAGGAACCTCCTGATTGCTAAGTAAATGAATGACTCAGAAACTGACGTGTCATTATTTTACCCAAATAAGAGCCCTGTTTATAAAGACTTTAAGTTCATAGCAAATCAAATACGTGTTCAGAGAAAAAAACGAAAATAAAAGCTCCTAAAGTTCAATGTGATATAACAACCTTCAAAAGTGGCTCCAAAAATTATTTGTAGTTAAAAAATATCATTTCCTCTTAACTGTTATCATACTGGTGTAATAAACTTCAAATAATTTTCAAGTTAAACACCATGAATAGAACCATGTTCTGGTCCATTCCATCAGGAAACTCTATCTTATGGTTCAGTAATTTGAAAAGTCAAGGAAACATCACTTTGTCTAGTTACCCTCATTTGTTACATCATCACAGTAATTATTTTAACTCAATACTTCCTAAGCTTATCTTGGAGTATTTAAAACATTTTATCTTTGAGCACTCCCAGGTACCAGTGTGTTTCCCTGAAACAAGTAAAACATCTAATATGTAATTGAGACTTATTGTCATATTCATGTTTAAAATAATTAGGCTTTGTGTCCCTGTAACACTTTGAAGTTGACAAAGCACTTGTAACAGTCTCACAGGCTTGAGAAATTGAAATGACTTCCCAAAAACCTAGTAACTTTCAATGCCAACATTAAAGATCATGTCTTTTAATTTCAAGTCCAGGTCTTTGTTAGTCATAGAGATAATCAGAATGGAGGCAATCAGGAGTTAGAGGAAGTAAATAAATTGGATAGCAGAGTAAAATAATATTTTCACAAGTTTTTCTGCTAGATGATACCTTCAGAACTTCATTCCATCTTCGTAGAGACAAGGAAACTAAGATAGAGGAAAATTAGCAGAGAGATCCTGATTAGTCTCCAAACTCTGGCGGATCACAGATGAAAGCATTTTGTAAACTATGGAGACTTGCAGAAATAAAAGACAACTTGTCTTTTTTTCTAGCGTAGATCCTAGAACACCTTAGGCAATCCCTAAGTCATCCATCTGACACATATTTGTTGAACACTCATTATGTGATGATCTGACTAATGTCTATATCACCCACTAAAGTGCACTCCTTAAAGATAGTTTTAACTCTTTATTTCCATTGCCTAAACTAGTGTCTCATTCATTCAACAAATATACTTGAGAATCTACTTATGTGGAAACACAAGGTAAGGAAAAGCTAGCAAAATCCCTTCCCACAAGAGAATAAAAAACTATAGTACTGTACAGAAAGTATTTGCGGGTGATTTACATCCACAAAATAGAGACATTTAACCCAGAATGGAGAGGTGAGGTAAAGCGTTCTGGAGAGGAGCCTTGAGCTAAGTACATAACATTTTAAAGTGTAGACCCATTTGGGATTTCTACTTTGTGTACACCTTACCTTCCATTGATTTTCCTCAGATACAAAGATGATAGAAGATAATTCACTCCTTTGCCTCAAGGGAAACATTATGCTGTTTTTATAATTAACAATGTATCGACATGAAGCTTTTTTTTTTTTTTTTTTTTTAAATACAGACATAGCGCTCAATTGGGCCTGTGATTTTCACAAGAGGTGTTTGGCAAGATATGAAGCCTCAGCCTGCAACTGCTTTACTTGATATTCCTTGAGGTTAATGATATCAAACTAAAAATATATTCATTCTTAGTAAACCTATAATTGAAAGTTTGATATCATAAAATTCTCTTGTAAATTACTTGCACTAAACCTGTACCTTAACCACTTAAATGCATTACTTTTATTTTGTTTCCAACAGGGAAAAAAAAATTTCTAGAAGTGAAATCCATTCTGTGTCTATTCTAGAATCCAGCCTCTTGAGGGCAGATTTAAGGTATATCTCTGCTACCTAGTATGGTACTGGCACTTAAGAGGCACAAAATAAATATTAGTGGAATGAAAGAATAATCAGAGCTTCAGTTATGCATTTTTTTATAGTTTTTAAAAACAGATTTAAACCTATGATCCCTTATTTATATTAGAATCATATATGCACATTACAGAGTAACTATAATATATACACATATATTTATGTGCATACATAGAAATTTTAAAATAAATATACTGGTGCATGTAGCTGAAGGTATTCGCAAATGTGAATATTTTCATTGGCAAATCCAGTCTGATGTAAGAAGGTATGATTTAGAACAGTCTTATCTATAATGGAGAAGGGTAGTTTCTCGCTGAAGTGTTAAAACTATAGGATGCTACTGAAACTAGGTGCTTGCTATTGTGTTAGAAAACAATAATAAACATAAGCATTTTTGTTAATATAACCGTAGTTTATCAAGTGGCTATTTTTTGAAGTACTGTGGTGAATACTTAGTAACTATTATCTCATGGTCATAATACCCTTTAGGAAATAATTGTAACCCCTATTTTATAGTTAAGGAAATAGAAGCTGCCTGAGGTTCTATGACTGTCCTAAGTGACATAGAACCTAGGTGACTACAACCTAGAGGGCAGTCTATGTTCTTTCCATCCATCTCATCACACTGCAAATCCTGAAGCCGTTTCTGTCCCTGTGGGTCCAACCTGAGAGTGTGGCACAAACAGATTCAAAGGCCATTTCCTTAGCCAAAGGTAGCCTGGAATCCATGCAGATGAATTATAAACAACATGTGATCCTCCTAAAAAGATACATTCATCTCTGGGCTCCTACCTGAGGCCTTTCATAGCTTCTAACGGCCTTGGGAATAATCCCAGAAGGAATGGACTCCACATTAGAAAGATCAAGTCCAAAGGAAATAACAAGAAATCCACCCACCTGGCCTCCTATCCCTGCCTATCTGTTCCCTGTATACCCAGAACAGCAGGCACACAAATGACCTCTGCAAAGCTTGTTAGCTTAATAAAATAAAGAGACTGCAGGCAGGTCATGGCAAAATGCCTGCCCTCATTTCCAAACTCTCCAGAGGTAAGTAAGAAATTAGGATCAACTGAAAAAAGACTGAATTTTTCAGAGAGTTTCTATCATTAAAAAAATCAGGACAGTATTGGATCCTGAAAATAATTCGTGAAAAGCAGGAGTCTATGTATTCTGTTCAAGTTAAACATATATCTTTGCAAAAATATATAAAAACTAAACAAGAAAAATTTTGAGTGAATCAATAATTGCTACAGAAATACATTTTTACTTTTAACTCATCTTTTAATCATGATATTCAATTGTATAAACCTAAATTTTATATCAATTTTACACATGTGAGTTAGAACATAAATGACAGACATGTAGCTCTTTCAGTTATTATCATCATCAAAATCTAAAGAACCTCTGAAATTTTATATAAGTGGCAGGCTACAAATGATGTAAACATTCAATAAAAACTGTTTCACTAACAAATCAAAATTTATATAAACTTTGCTGAAAATTAACTACATTTCTTAAGAGGCACAATTTTTCCTACTATTATACAATGCTGTGAGTTGAGTGGATTCCAGAAATCCAAATAATTGTGTGCAAGCCACAATCTAAAAAGCTGTATGGTCAGAAATAAAATTTTGCTTTCAAGTTAATATAAATAACCTAAGCAGTATTGCTAAATGCCATTCCCATACTCTACCTTCTTATACCCTGATATAGTTTGGCTGTATCCCCACCCAAATCTCAACTTGAATTTTATCTCCCAGAATTCCCATGTATTGTGGGTGGGACGGGGTTGGGGGAGGTATAATTGAATCACGGGTACGAGTCTTTCCCATGCTATTCTCGTGTTATGGAATAAGTCTCACACGATCTGATTGATTTATCAGGGGTTTCTGTTTTTGCTTCTTCCTCATTTTCTCATGCTGCCATCATGTAAGAAGTGCCTTTTGCCTCCTGCCATGATTCTGAGGCCTCCCCAGCCATATGGTACTATAAGTCCAATTAAACCTCTTGTTTCCAGTCTTGGGTATGTCTTTACCAACAGCATGAAAACTAATACATACCCCAAGCATGCTACCCTGTTATCTGTTCCTCAAATATGGTGTTTCACTCTACTTCTTCCTCAGGGCCTTGAATTTGTTGTTCCTTCTTTCAGAGACTGTCTTTCCCTGAATTTGCACATGGCTGGCTCCTTCTCATCATTCAAGTCTCTGCTCAGATGTTACCATGTCAGGAAGACC